CCCGCCTCCCGTGCAGGCGCAGGGCCGGCGTGCTCGGAGGGCCGGTTGGGCGCGCTGGTCAGTCCCGCCTGGGTGCAGCGCGCCCACCCGAGACCCGGGTGAGAGGCGCTGGCGTGGGTGGGTGATCGCGCCGGTGCGAGGCTGCGAAGGAAACTGTCGGACGTGGGGAAGCGCTTGGCCTTCCCGGGGACGGGGAGAGGTCCGCGGGGTTGCGGCGGGAGGCACCTCTGTCCGCCTCGGCGACGTCGGGGTTCCTCGCGCAGAGCGGCCGCCCGCTGCCCCGCCCCCAGCGTCTGACTGTTTTCTGTTGGCTGCTTCTGGACCCACAGGCTCGATGGAACCGGGCGTCTTCCTAGTTAGGGCAGGCGACGCGTTTTCAAGCGTGTCGCACAGCAGGACAGGTGACTCGCTTTCCACCCTGCAGCGTCTGTCTCTTTAGTGTCACCACCCACCCACTGCCTGATCGCTAAGCCAGGGCCTCTTATGTTCCATCACAGCGACACCCCACTTCCAGGGGCCATGTTACTAGGGCAAGGGGTAGCCTCTGTAACAGGGAGACTTCAGACCACATTGGCGCAAACAGGTGGAAGTGGGATTCTCTCAAGTAGCAGGACAGAGGTGAGCAGTCCAGAACTGGGGACACAGGTACCCCAAATGCAGGTATGCGACCAGTGCTCCCCAGATCAAAGGCATCCAGGGAGGCTAGTTCCTTCTGTCTCAGCCCTGCTCCCCCTGCGTGTTGTCCACTTGGGTGAGGTCAGCGCTGGCCCATCGCTACAGTGCTCACCTTCCAGACTGGGAGGCAAACAGTCGAGTGCTGTGATCATGCTGACATTTTTAGTGCTTACTCTGGCAGCTCTGTGGGAAATGAAAGGGACGGTGGTCAGAGTGGAGGCAGGGGGCGAGGAGTGCATAGAGCACCAGAGGTGACAGAGGCTGGACAGAGGACAGTGGGCTGGTGGAAGCAGAGGGCAGTGTATTGTGGAGGGAGAGCTGGCAGGCCGAGCCCGTGGAGGGGATTGTCGTGATGGACAAATTCGATAATAGATGGAAACACCCGACACCGTAGTTTTTTTACTATGGGAAGGGATGTTTATTAGGTTCCACCTGTTGTAAGTAAATTTGTATATGCGCTTTCCTTAGGATTCTTCATTTTAATGAGGAATGTGACTTAGGTTTATCGTGTAGTTGGTAAATATTGCAAGCCTAAAGTTACTCCCCAACAAGTCTAGTGTGTGCGTTTGTGTCTTTTTACTTTGATTAGAAATAAAAATGGTTTTTCTTTGCTCTTCTTTGCTATCTGCTTCTCGGTAGCTCTCACTGAATGACGCTGGTGCTCTTCCTTCCGATCACTGACTTGCCTTGCCTGTCTGCTCATAAGTTGCCTTCTCTTTGCCAGGCTCGACTGGTCGAGAGTGTGGGGTGCACAGCATGTTGAGGAGTCTTAGGACGTGGTCACAGCTGGAAAAAGCACAGCATCAGGGTGTTCAGATCCATTCGGTTGAAGTCCTCTGTGCCCTGAGAACATGGGAGTTGACGACAGGAGTCCTAATTTCTGATCTTCTCTGTAGTTGACATTGTGCCAGATTTCACTGTTGTAGAGCAAACCTCCCAAGTGCAAGGTCATTTTCCAAATGAAAGTGTCATCGAGGAGGAATCTTTGCTTGATGGAAACCATGCTCTCTTTCTAAATGGCAGTCTATAGGGCATTATTAATCTTTCTCATCAGCATTAACGGTTCTGTATTCGGGGCTGATGGATGTCCGAATCAGCTACTCCATATCAGCAAAAGTAAACTTTCCTTACTATGGTAGAATTAAAACCAAATTCAACTGAAAAACCTCACTCAGCAAACTGTTTCTAGTAACTAGGACTCAATTAACCAGCATGGCACATTTATAATTAAAATGAATAAAGGCCATTAGTCAGTAGAAACCCTCAAAAGACCTTCAAACTGAAAGATTGGGTGGGGGGGTCTGTGTGTCTCTGTGTGTGTGTCTCTGTGTGTCTGTGTGTCTCTGTGTGTGTGTCTCTGTATGTGTCTCTGTGTGTCTGTGTGTGTCTCTGTGTGTGTCTGTGTGTCTGGATGTGTCTGTGTGTCTGTGTGTGTCTCTGTGTGTCTGTGTGTGTGTGTCTTTGTGTGTAGAGAGCGACTTGCCATTGATTCCATTACTGAGTTCTAAGGATTTACCTTGATATTCTAATTCACGGTATATATGCTAAACTCATATTAGCATGTATATGATATATGTTGAATGCAGGTGTTTAATTCTGGGGACGTGGCATTTTCTTGCTGTGCTGATGGAGGAGGGCACACGGTGCTTTTCTGCCAGTGCTCAGGGAAGTTGGTGTCTTCGTGTCCCCACCCTCCTCTCTAATGCACGGTGCAGACACGGGCTTCCGGGGGTGGTGGCGACGGTGGCGTGCGGGTTCAGCCTGGGTGCCCGGCTCCTGTTCTGTCCGTGGGCTCCCCAGGGTCCCCAGGTGCATGGGAGAAGCATCCCCCATCTGGTTGCTATGAGGGCTCACTCATCAGCATGGAAGCTGAGGCTTTGGATTTCATTTCTGCCAAATCCTGAAGCCTTTAACCCCCCTCCCTCCCCTCTGTCCACTCATCCAGCTCGCTGGGCCCCATCATTTCCAATAAAGGAGCAAGTCCGCGGCCGCACAGGCGTGATCGCGCCTCCTCGGAGAGGGCAGCTTGTCTTTCCCAGACCTGCCTACTTTGTTCCATCATTGAGGAAACAAGAGACATATTTTGTATTTTAATTTATGCGTCTTATGAAGTGTCTTCTCTTAATCATGTTCCTGTTCCAATTGTTCTCTGGCGAGGTTGCTGTTCTATTGATCTCCTTCAATTATTGTTAAGTAATGGGGTCTTTGTGTAGACACGGGGTTTTAATTTTGTTTATACTGTGTGGTGTCTTTATAGTCAGGCGGTAAATCTCCATCTGCCTTATGAAGGCCGACAGAACCTCTCCAGGAGGGAGGAGGGGAGAGTGAACCGTGAGCACAGGCATCCCAGAGAGAAATGCCTCTGCAGCCTTCGTTTCCCGGTCCAGGCCGATCCGTGATAACTGGACTATTTGCCGAGTAAGTGTACATACAGGTCAATCTCATGCAGTCAGCTCTCAGTAATCCACAGTAAATAGCAGAAAACATGAATAATTTAATCCACTCAGCTGACCCGGGGCCACCAAGCCGGTGATCCCCACATTCCCTGGGGAGCCCAGCCTCCCCCCAGCGCCTTGGTATCAGCGTGGGTCCTTTCGTCTGCCACAGGAGGTGGGGGCCTGACCTCCCCTGCCACCTGAGCCACTCAGAGAACGTCAGCTTGTCACCGTGGAGGATCGCAAGTCCACTGACCTTAATGTGCCAGTTGTTCTGTGACCCCACGGAGAAATGGTTCTGGATGTCGTCCCAGAGTGCTGTGTGT